CGTGATTGACGAAGAGACTCCCTAAGCGGGGCAAGGCAGCAAATGGTGAGTGCGATGGGTGAAAGACGAGGATGTGGTGTAGCCAATGAACAAATACACAACACAACAAATGTGATGTCAGTCTTCGCCTGACCTGTGCACCAAGGCGGTGCAGTTGGCCACATCTCGATGGCTGTTGCCACACAACTGCCACACACATAAGTATACACATCTGTCTGCCACGTACAGTGTAAACTTGAGACACAGAAACAAACAAAACACTCATTCAAATGTCGTAATTAAGGGACTGTCCTAATTTTTCAAGAATGTCAGTGCTTAAATAGACTTCACTAGCTTCACAGATCAAAACAGACACAACATCTGAACTTCTAAAGCACGTTAAATAAAAAAAAAACAAGAGATAAAGCGACGCAATATTCACGTTAGTGTTGAAGATGGCTTCATTCCGGGACGATAAAGAACAAGGACAGTCGTGGTGCCACATAGTAAACTAGTCAAATGACGTGACCAAACACAATTCACTACTACCATCTCAGCAACACGCCTTTGCCATCGACTGCAATGAAGGGATGCGAAGATGACAACTACTTGCCAATGCGTGACTTACCCATGCAAATGTTTGAATAGATGAACCCCCAACATGCGAGCAGAATTCTGGTCCACGGATATCCAGAGTTGCGCCTGCAGAGCACCCAACAGACCCGAACTGGGCGAGCCAACACCCTGAACAGCACGAATTCCGATGTAGTAGAGGATGAGGTCCCATCTAAACACTAGTCCACTCGGTCCAACCATTGTCATATAGAGGTAGCTAAAATCACCGGATCTCATCTGCTGCACGACAAAATCCATGCTCTGATTGGTCGTCACATTGGGCGTCAAACTGTTTACTAGAGACAAAAACTAGTTGAAGGAGGCAGCAACCTACCGATGTTCTTGTAGAATATGGGCACGTAGAGATTGACAACTCGAGCAACGACTAAGATGCAAACACATAGAATGATATTCAGCTGCAGGAGGTACCTCGACCTGGGCCAAATGAAGGGAAACAACACTGATGCACGGCGTTTAAACACACCCCAACGACCAGCAGCAAGGGGATCTTGGGTTACGGCATTTTCGTCCAGCAACCCATGATACAGCATGGCATAATTTGGACTTCCGGGTGCCAGAAGGCCAAGTATGAAGACAAGAAGGGTGCACATATACTCAGCAATCCAAACTGCTAGCTCTGCTTTGTCCAAATCACTAAAGAAAAAAGCGTTAAGAGCTGTGAAAAGAAAAGGAAGACGACATTACGTCTCAAGCTTCCACCACCACGAACTACTGCCAATGCACGTTAGTGGAAGGTTAACGAGAACAAAACTAATGGTCCAAAATAATAGCAGCGGAAATCCGTGCCTCATTCCGTAAAGCCTTGGACAAGTGCGTTGGCGTTCAATGATGAGGAGTGACATGGCAATGATCCAAGCAATGGGCATACCAATGGCATACAAAACTGCAAATCCAGATAACTCTTTAAAGTTCATGTAGACGAATGCATGTGCCAGTGTTATGAATATGAGGAGAGCTGAGAAAGTAACTTGCAACCCGAATCCTACTGACCGCGTTCTGTTCTCAGATCGGCGAGAATTGCAACACAGACAAGATACGTAAGTTATTAAAGCAAGAAAAGAAAGACTCAGGGAGAGAGAAGAGGAAAGAGTCCAAAGGAAGCATCGATTCAACCCTCCGTTGTGCCACGGATGGAGAAGAGTCTCATTTGGAGGACAGTACTGCATGACCACGAAACCAAAGAATGCGGGATCGGCGGCCACGCCTAGTCCGCGATTTAACAAGCGAATCAATTGCTACAAACAAAACAAATTTTACAATAGTTTGCTTCAAAATAGCACCAATTTAGAAAACATAGAGTAACAAAGTGCTTTTTAAAAAACAGTCTTCCTGAGAAGTGTTTGTCTACTAAAATTTGAGAGAGTTAAATGATTTGCAGAAAACTGGAACACCTAGTAAGAGCACAGGGATTTTTAAAATGAAAAAATTAAGTGAAACCTTCGTATAAAGCGTACAAAATAACGTACACATTTTAATAATATCCTTATTTATGAATGCATTTAGCTTTAATAGGTTACTTGCCTGTAAAGTAATTTTAGAACTAATTACCTATGTGCAGAATGAAAGAGCTTACGTTAAAAGTACCATCTCTGCAAATAAATGAAACAAACGTTGGGTCTTCTGTCTTTTCCTTGGTTGAAATATAGTCACCTCACAAATATGGGGTCCCTATTCCTCCTTGTAGACGTATCAAACAAGAGTGTCCTACTGGAACATACAACACTCGTTTACAAAATAAGCCAGTCCCAAGTGCATTGACATTCTACAATGGCCTTACTGATGATCGGATGCATGGTCTGGGGAGACTGAAATGTAACAACAATGCGTATCCACTTTGTCGGTTAGTGCCGTCCTGACCCGTAACTGGGTCATTTACCGCATCGTGCATCGCAACATCGCCCACTATGCTAACAAAAAGCACACTCAAATCATTAACTCTAGATGCTAATTTCTCCAACATGTAAGAAGAGGCTCGAACTCAACCGTGCGCACACTTACAACCTGAGGATACTTGAGTGTGCCTTGTAGACCATCATGCAGTTCAGCGAAGTACTAATACTTCCGCTTATGTCTGCCAAAAATGCCTCCGTTGATGTTCTACTTGACACTCACCTTTGCTAACACAACCGCATTAAGCTGAGAACATTTTCTTCATTTACGCCAGATAATACTAATACCTTGACTGACTTACCTCGCCTATTGTTGTTTGCCTGACGGTTTCAACAACACTTCCCCACACCACATATGTTGATAGAGAGAAGCCTTGCATGTGCACATTACTAGCATTAGTGTTTCTACATACGTGTTTTGCTGCAAACCTCATTAAGTGTTGCACACCTAGCAATTATCTCTGCTGTAATATGATAGTGGTTTATCCCTCGGTATTGGTGAAGCGCCACTTTTGGAATTTAAATAAGCCCTTATGTACCTGGCTGAGTGGGCTGGCCTTTTGGACCATGCCAATAGCCCAAACACATTCTCTGAGCTAAAAATATATTCTGCCCGAGTTTTTTGTCTATTTTCAACTTCGGGGAGTCTCGGG